TGATCTCTCACGTCGACCATGTTTACCAGGGATGCAAATATTGCTTTCATCACAAGAAGAAGATACAATCGGAAGACATAAGAGCAACAACAATATCAGCGAATGACGGTTGGACACCGACGGATCTTGCTGATGCACAGTTTGCGGATGAGGACCTACAACATCTGATCACATGGAAGAAGGAGGGCAAGCGACCGGACTGGCAAAGCATCTCAGAATATAGTGCCGTGTTAAAGGGTTATTGGGCTCAGTGGGACTCATTGTATTTGGAAGTGGATTTGCTGAAACGAAAATGGGAATCAGCCGATGGATCAAAACACCGCATGCAAGCTGTAATACCAAGAAGTAGAACGACCAAAATTTTTGATGAAATGCATGGCGGCCCTTCTGGGGGACATTTAGGAGTGAACAAGACCCTTGACAAAATCCGAGAAGAATTCTACTGGCTTCACGTTAGAGAAGATGTAGAAAGCTGGTGTCGAAAATGTAACACATGCACTTCAGTCAAAGGACCCAAAAGAAGGCATAAAGGAGCAATGCAAATCTACAAAGTTGGTGTTCCCTTTGAACGGATTGCTATAGATATTGCGGGACCCTTTCCGGTATCAGATTATGGAAACCGTTACATTCTGGTTGTAGCTGACTATTTCAGCAAATGGCCTGAGGTGTTTTCAATACCCAACCAAGAAGCATGTACCGTCGCTGAGGAAATTGTACTCAATTGGATTAGTCGATATGATGTCCCATTGGAACTCCACTCAGATCAAGGTCGAAATTTTGAGTCACAACTGTTTGGTGAAATGTGCAAGCTGCTGGGTATAAACAAAACTCGAACGACACCTCTTCACCCACAGTCTGACGGTATGGTGGAACGATTTAACCAAACCCTGATTGAACATCTGGCTAAAGTAGTCGACGAAAATCAACAAGATTGGGATCATCATATACCATTGTTTCTTATGGCATACCGGAGTGCTATCCACACAACCACTGGAGAAACGCCATCAAAAGTTCTGTTTGGGACTACGTTAAGAACTCCAGCTGATGTGAAATATGGCGTACTACCTGAACCACACCAAATATTAACAGAATACGTGGATAATCTTCGACAGCGATTAAACCATATCCACCGTTACGTACGCCTTAAAATTATGAAAAACACGGAGGCGGCCAAAACCAGATACGACTTGAAAGGAAGCAGTGGCGGTTTTGCTGTCGACGAGTTAGTTTGGCTGTACAACCCACAGCGAAAGAAAGGACGTTCTCCAAAGCTCCAGCGAGGGTGGGAAGGACCTTATCAAGTCATCACCCGATTGAATGACGTCGTCTACCGTATTCAAGAATATCGGAAGCCGAGAGCAAAAATGAAGATCGTTCATTTGGATAGGCTGGCTTCGTACCATGCGGACACCGGAACGAAAGCTGTTCAGGACGAACAGAACTAAGAAGGGGGTAATGTTATAACCGTGATACCGAACGCACTAGATTCTAGCGTATTCTGGAATGTTCTAGTGACTGGAGCATTCTAGAGTATGCTAGAATCGGACCATCTGGAAGAATCTAGAAACGACGCTTGCGAAGAGTATATAAGCGCACGTCGCAAGAAGATTCGTGATTAGTGAAATTCGTGATTTTGTCATTTCGTGAATAGCGATTCCGTGAATTATTTAAAGCGATATTTGATTTGTTTGTTGACGTTGTCATAGCGATAGATTTTAAACAATTTAAAAGTTAATTGTTGCGTTAATTTGAATTTGCTAGAAATAAACGATTAGTTGATTTCTTCTGTAAATAAAGTTTAATAACGAATAACTGTTTGGAGTATTTTATTCAATCGAACATTTGAACCCGTTGCATCGTAAATCGGTTACGACAGCGAGTATTATAACAGTATGTATTTATGTATGTATGTATCAAATCAAATCAAATTTTATTCAATCAATCCAAATTAATAATAATTAGGTAATGATTAGGAGACCAAAGCTAAAAGAAAACAAAATTCTTGTGTCGCAGGCCACCGTTCACAAATTGTTCATTCTAACACAATTTTTATGTAAATTTATAATTCATGACAAAATTAACATATTGCACAATTTACATGATTCTAATTAAATAAAAATTGTA